CTTGTACACAAGGTGCTGCTGAATGTCAGAAGGGAGGGGCATCAATGATCTTAATACCACTAGTGTGGCCATGCCAGCACTGGCTTACCACACGTCAGACCTGTAAGTGGACTCACTGATAATTCTGCCCTTGGTTCCAGACTTATCACACAGGACTATGGCCACCTCTGGCATCCTAATCTGCAGTCTCTCCATTTCATGGCATGGAAACTCCGTGGCTAAACCCCTTGGAACTCACATGCTTAGACCCTGTTGGATAAGTCATCTTTGGCCGCAGGAAGCCATCCACTAGCATCACTTATTTGGCTAAAGGGAAGAAAGGCTCCATTTGGGCATTACAAAAGGACATCCACCATTACAGTCAGCAGTTCTCTTTACTATTTGCTGCATCTGAAACAGCAGGGTCTGTCAGTATCATCAAGTATACCTGGCCACTATCCACCCCAGTTCGGTCAGTCACTAAGTTTTCACTAACACCATAGTGGGCTACTTTCTCAAAGTATTAGTCTGTACCTTAAGTAAAACGACCATTTCCCCCCACGGGATCTCAACCTGGTGCTCTCTAGACTGATGGGACCTCTTTTCAAGACACTAGCAACATGCTGTCTTTCCTGGAAAGTAGTATTCTTGGCAGCTATAACTTCAGCAAGGAGGCTGTCTGAGCTTCAGGCCTTACCTTCTGATCTCCCTTCTATGAGTTTTCTGTAAGGACAAGGTGCAGTTGACCTTTCTCCCAAAGGTAATTTCACAATTCTGCACAAACTAGAACATTTTTCTTCCTGTGTTTTTTCCTATGCCACATGCTAGCAACAGGGAATGATCTGGGCATGTTGTGACTTAGCAAAGATCTCTGCCCTTGTGCTGATAGCACACTCCACAAGAGGCATCCTCAGAGGTGTTCCTGGCACATATCCCCAGTTCAAGGCATCTTCAGGACAACCACCTGGTCATTGATCCACACCTTTCCATCACACGATGCCATTACGCAGCAGGTCACAGACAATGCTGCATTTTGTAGAATGGTCCTGCAGCTGGCGAACTGCTGAGCTCAACCCCTCCTCTTAGGTGATGCTTGGGAGTACCCTACTTGGAATTGACATGAGCAAACATTCGAAGAAAAATGGTTATCTACCTTCTTGTAATTGTTGTTTTTGGAGGTGTGTTGCCCATGTGCATTCCAAGATCCACCCGCCTTCCACTCTGTCTGAATATCCAGCAAAAAGGAACTGAGAGGTGGCAGGTTGATAGGGACATAGATTGAAGGAGTGATTCCAGGGGGCTCCACAGCTGACCCAACATGTACTGTTAGGGGAAAAGCCTTCAGATGACTTTGCACACGGTGCACGTACCTACTAGAAAGGACATGAGCAAAGCATCTTGAAGATCAATAGACACAAGAAGCTAGATAACTGGTTTTCCCCCCACATTGCCACTTTCTCTGCCCTGAGTCCTAAAGTGGATGGTACCAGGAGCTTATTGTTTTTTTCTGCAGTAAACTAAGAGGAATGGCCCTTAATTGTGATAATGAGAGAAAGAGAAGAGACAGGTCATTTCATATGACCCTCATGGGAGGTGTGCACATTGCATGCTAGGCTGAAGAGGGAGAAAGCATTTGTGGAATCTAGTTACAACATTTTGGGCAAGTCCCAGAGATTTAAATCACAGTTCCATGTTCAAAAGATTGTCAAACTGATTTTTTTTCACACTTTATTCCTGAGGATTTGTTATTCCAAAAATATTAAAGGACAATATCATCTTAATAGTCACATTTTTCTCTAACAGGTTTTTCTTACTGTTTTATACACACATGTATGAGATAAATAAAAATGAAAGGTAATTGAAAGGATAATTTTTCTTTCTCTCCTCTCCCTGTTTGTTTTCTTTTTGTATTTGACAGTGCTCTGTGTATAGCAGTGGTCACCATCCGGCAGATCTTGGAGACTGACAGGTGATCCTGACTGGTTTGGCTGGAAAGGTATCAAGTGCCAGAACTTCAGGTGCCCCTCCCCACACTGCTCTGCTGCTCCTGCTCAGAGCTGCCCCCTGGGAGCCTCCTGCTTGTTGTGCAGAGTAGGGGAAACAGAGGCAGGGGGGGAGTTTATTTCCTTGTATCATGCCCTGGAATAATGTTCACTGTTGTAGGCCACTGTACATGCCCTTCCCCAGCCACTCCAGCAGGGGGCTCATAGAGCACAGTAGAAAAGCACATACCTTGACCTTCAGAAAACAGAATGAACATAATGACTGACCAAGGGAGCTGAAAGCCTGGTTGGGCTCCTGGGCAAGGTGTGTATATGTGTGTGTGGGGGGGGGGGGAGCAACTCCACACTCCCGGAAGGGGTAGGACTGAAGGTGGTAGGGGTGAGATGAGGGCAGTCCGTCCTCAGCACTGCCTGGACCAGCACTTCCTGAAGCAGGCTGCATGGTGTCCCCACCTCCTCAAGTAGTCCTAATTGCTTCACTGAGTGCCGCATGATTCTGGGTGCCACCACTGCCACAGCGGCAGCTGGAGCCCCGGGCCCCAGGCAATTGCACCTTTTGCTCCCCCCTGTTGGCTGGCCTGGGGCTGACAGATAGAAAGCCATATATTTGTTTGTAAAATAAATACATTAGATATGAAAATGCTTGAGACAATAACCATAGATCTCCATGATGCCATTTTAGAGAGCTGCTTTCCTTCTCAGCTATTTCTAACATTACTCTCTTTATGGAAGCTAGTAAGATATATTCAACACTTGCAAACACTAAATTCTGCAGAGAAGGAAGTTCAGCTGGTGTAAAGATTATTTAAGGGAGGGGAAGAGAAAACATTTAATTTGGTCTTAACTTTTCTTTTTTTAATCCACCCTCAAATAGAGAAATCCTAGATAGACTCTCCAGTTGTAGCTGCCACTCCTAAAAATATTCTTTTACTCCCTATTAAAATCTCTTTGATTACTCTTATTATTTCTTAGGGTAGCAAATACAATATTTCAGATATGAGTGAAGCCTCAATTATTCTTATTCCACATGTGACGTTGTCTGACTCAGAGTCATGTAGCCTTGTGCAGTATTCCCATGGCTTCCTCCTCACCCCAGTATCTGAAATGCAGGTGGGTGTGACTTGAGAGGCTAAAGGAATGGAAAGTGATAGTGTAGCATGGCTGTAGGGCAAACGGGTACTTTTGTATGGAGGTTCTGACCGAATAAAAAGATTTATATATTTCAAGACAATGTATTCTCACCCTTTTCATTTGAATTCTCCTGATACTTCACCAGGTGCCATATACTGGAGGTGGAGCCAGCAGCAACCACGTGCCATATACTTTGGCCAGGTGGAGAGAGTAGCAACTAGGGCCAGGTTCAATATCTAGGGGTTCCTTTCCATCGATACAACATGAGGTGTAACAGTCAACTCGAACTAAGGACTTAGTTCGAGTTAACGTTTGACTGCCGCATGTAGCCGCGGGCAGTTGGTTCGGACTAAGGGGATTTAAAAATCGCACCCGGACGGGAAGATGCAAATAAAGCCCGGGATATTTAAATCTCGGGCTTCATTTGCAACTTCGAATGCCTACATTGGCCTCCCTAGTTCGAACTAGGGGGCTAGTGTAGACATACCCTCACATCTTGCAGATATAAAGCAAAAATCTCTTTACATACAGTAACTAACAACCATGTCGATTCATTTCAGGAAAACAACATTCCCTAGACAATTTTTGGCACCCACTGTATCAAAACTACATGAAAGTCCCCTGCCTTTCAGCAGTGAAGACTAATCCATACAGTAGCTCTTTATTAGTCAGCTGCTTATCTCACACTTTAACTTGTGCTGATCTCTCTCTCTCTCTATATATATATATATAACATTCCTTCAGGACAATAGAATGACATCACATGTCATCTGCATCCAAAGGCTCCGCCTTCACACGGGCTCCCTACCCCAGACACTGTTCAGGAACCAGCAAAGCTGCCTGGCCACCCAAGCTGGGCAGATTCTGCCTCCCAAGGGTCCTGCCTGCTCAGCTTTGGCTTCAGACTTTCAGGTGGCCTGTTCCCTGGCCCAGGGCTGCTTCAGCTGGTGCGAGGCCCAGGATGTGCCCCACTCACACCAGGAACAGAGGCAGGCTCCCACACCTTAGGGCGCTGTGACTGGCTCCAGGACTGCTTGCTTGTGTCACTGTTTTTGGCGCTCACGGGCTGCTGGGCCAGCAGGGTCAGGAGAAGCACCAGGTGCAGAGCGAGGTGCCCCACATTCCCAACAGCCTGCCACCCCATCCTCCACCGTGCCCCGAGTGGCCATGTCCTAAGCCCAGTGCTGAGCTGCCCCATGAGACCCAAGCCCAGACAGGCTCCCTTCCACCCAGCCATGTGTGGGGCTGCAGCAGTGAGTGGCGCTCCTGCAAGGTGGGTGAGGAGGTGCCCAGCACTGACCTGAGTGGCCCGGGCCCCATTTGCTTGGCGCTGCAGCCTCACCCTCCCTCCTCCTCTGTGTGGTTGGAGCACCAGCGCTGGCTTCCCACTGCGGCGCAGGGTGGGGGTACAGAGAAAGCCCCAAGCCTCACTGCGTGGGGAAGAAGCACTCCCCCTCCTGGGCTGGGGGAACAGCAGTGCGCTGTCTGGAGGCTTTCCCTGCGCTCCTCTTGGCCAGATTCCAGCTAATGGGAGCAGCGGGAAGCCAAGCCTGGGACTGACATAGGGCCTGAATACAAGTAAGTGCCTCCCACCCTTCATGCCCAGACCCTGCACCCCCAGACCTTCACTTCCCCCCCCCGAGAACCCACACCCCTAGCCCACTCCTCCCAGCCAGACACCTTGCCACCAGCCTGCTTCTGCCCCCTCCCGACCAGACACCTACCCCCACCCTGCTCCTGCCCCAAACCCCTCACCGCCCTGCTGAGACTCCACAACCCAAGTCCCCCTCACTCACCCTCCCACCGAGATCCCGCACCCCCAGCCTGCTCACTCATTCCCTCCACTGAGACCCCGCACCCCCAACCCTCTCCTGCCTCCTACTCCGGCCAAACACACTGCCCTCAGCCTGCTCCTGCACCCTCCCCTCTCCCCCAGCCAGCCTGCTCCTCCACCCTCCCTTGCTCCTGCACCCTCCCTCCTGGCCAGACATCCTACTCCCCGCCTGCTCCTGCACCCTAATTCCCACCCAGACCTCGCACCTTCAGCCTCTCTACACCCCACCTGCTGCCCTCAGCCTGCTCCTGCACCCTCCCCTCTCCCCCAGCCAGCCTGCTCCTCCACCCTCCCTTGCTCCTGCACCCTCCCTCCTGGCCAGACATCCTACTCCCCGCCTGCTCCTGCACCCTAATTCCCACCCAGACCTCGCACCTTCAGCCTCTCTACACCCCACCTGCTGCCCAGATCCTGCATCCCCATCCCTGTCCCACACACTTAATCCCTCATTTTTGGCCCTACCCCAGAGCCTAGGGGCCCCACAAAATCCACTAACCCTGGAACCCCAGAAGAGTTCATCTGGACTGAGGCTTTGTTCCCCTCGGGGCTAGAACACCAGGGAAGTGACGTGTTTCAGTTGGAGGCCATATCAATGAGGGTTGGGGGTTTTTGGGGGGGCTTTTTTTTCCTTCTCACTTGTGTGGTCGCCAACTGATTTTTCTGTGGGTCAGTGGCCCCCAACCCAAAAAGGTTCCTGTGGCGGAGTCCCCACTCAGGCCCCTTGGTCTGGGACACTTTTTGGTCCACGAATCAGCCAGAGAGACTTCTGGTGCAGTCACCTGTGATTTTATTGTCAGTTCCCACCAACTTCTATTTACAAAGCTTACAGTCCATTCAGTCAGCTCCTCCATCTGCCTGGGAGCACACTCAGCCGCTCGCCGCTCCTCCATTCCCCCTCCTGGCTGCCTTCCTCTGCCTTATATAGCCCTCTCCCAGTGAGGCCCACAGATTTTTCTAATAGCCCTTCAGGCCTGGGCTTGTTCCACTGTGGCCATCACCTCCTCAGGCAAGCTACAGTGGCAGAGCTCTGGCCTAGCCAGCCGTCTGTCACAATTCCCCACCACTGCCATCAAGAACAACAATGCTGAAACCTTTTTGTTTTGGACATACTTTACTTCATTTAAAATTAAGCCTGGCCAAGCCACATATGGCCACAGCATCCTGTCCCTGGGCCTGATCCCGGGGCAAGCCCTGTGGTCCAGGCCTCATCTGGCCACAGTAAGGGCCAGTGGTGGCCCTCCCTCCTGCTGCAGCACGGGTAGAAGAGGCCAGGATCTGGCTGCGGTGGATAGAGGGAGGTTGGCAAGCATGGCAAGCAGGGGGTGCAGCCCCCTAGTTTATTTATAGCATAAAATCCGGTCTTGTATTGTGGAAGTGCAGACATCTATTTTCATTAGATACTTGGGTCTCTAGCTTGCAAGTCCATCTACTCCAATGGCACGTGTGCAATGGGAGTTTGTGTGCACACTTCAGAGCTGTAGCGTCACTGTTTGAAAAGAGTGTTGCTCTGTTGTTGGGGTGAAGAGATACGGCTCATCTTCACTCTACCATTGGGCAAGCAATTAGATCCCACATAATGCTAAGGGGGAGTATGGAGGGTTAGCTCTGCATGTGGGCACCACTACCTCACACACCACACTTGCCCTTACTTGGGGAGTTGCCCAGATTCTTGCTTTTTTCTTTCTTTGCATTTTATTTGAGCAACTTTTCCAAGAAATGCAGTAATGGAGAGAGTTTGTTTTGAAACCAGACATCTGCATGCTTCTTACCTCTATAGTTCAGAGATAATCCCTGTTGATCTACAATGGTTATAAAGCTTCAGAGGGGTACCTGAGTTAGTCTGTAATTAAAAAAACTTAAAAAACAAGTAATAGTCTAGTTAGTAGCATCTTAAAGACTAACAAAACGTAGATGGTATCATGAGCTTTCATGGGCACAACCCACTTCTTCAGATGACTGGAGTGTTAAAAGTCCAGATCCAAGAATAAATAAGGGAAGGGGGGGGGGAGGAGAAAAAAGACAGTTAAT